CCCGCCCCTCGCCCTCCCGTGGCTCCAAAATAAATTAGCCACCGAGGGGAAAAGGAGCAAATGACCCTCGGTGCGAAGAGCGTCCTTGCGCCACTCTCCAGCCCGCCCGCCCGCCCGCCCCGCCTCCCGGGCCGTCGGAGCGGGAAATTGGCGTGGGGGTGGCGGCAGGCGCGCTGGAGGCCAGGGTCCGCGCCGGGGAGGCGGGAGGCATGGGCTGGGTAGAGCGCGTTCGCGGGGTGTGAGCGCCAACCTGGGTCGAAGGGCAAAGGGGAGGGCGGTCGACCCCGGCCCGCTCCGTCCGCTGGCTGCCCAAGAGCCCCTCTCTCAGAACTGCCTCGGCCCCTCGGCCAAGGCCCTGCTGACTCACGCTTACTCCCCGAGTCCAGGTGAGCTGAGCATTGACTGTGCTTCAGACTCTGCTGCCCGGATGCGGGGGGGGGGGGCAGGACCACAGCCAGGCCAGCCTGGGGCTCAGCACCGTGCGGGCAAGTGTAGGAGGGTACTTGGAGGAGATCAAGCCCTGGGCTTAAGCAGGTGACAGTGAGTGTAAGTAACTTCTGAAGGGTTGGGGGCCTTCGTGGAGGACTTCCCCCAGGTGGAGTGAGAATGGTCGGAGGCCAACTTGGAGGCAGCGTCTGGGGCCTCTAGTGGGCCTACTGGTGCCAAAAGACAGTCATTGGTTATTGCATTCATTCAACAGATATCCTTTGAGTGTCTGCTTTGTGTCAGGATGTGCTAGGCTCTGGCGGAGCTGCCAGTCAGAGGGTAGCCAGAATCCTGCCACCCACGCACCTCAGCGCTTCAGTGGAACCAAGGGCCTGAAACGAAGGCCACGGAACAGCGCCTGCACTTACGAAGGAAGGTGCAGGTAAGTTTCTGAAGGAGACAGCATGCAGGGAGACCCAAGGCCATCAGCATTCCCACCCATGGGCAGTGCTTAAGGTCCTCTCTTCTGAGGTGTTTTTATTTTTCCTTTTGGACACCTGCTCAGCCTGAGTGTCAGGAGGCCAGGACTGGAACAGGCTCTGTCCTCTGGTTTTGCAGAACTCTGTACACTATCCACCCCCTTTCCTCTGGAAGACCTGGGGTCTGACAGGCCCAGGGAACCCTGTAGGTGCCACTCAGGGAAAGGAAAGGGAAAGGCCCTCAAGAGCTCCCTAATGGATCCAGAATCCCTGTCTTTCTACGCCCAGCTCCCCAAAGGCCAGAGATAAGAGTTGAGAGACCAGTGTCCTCATGAACTGAGAAACCTCAACCAGCAGGGTTAGTGGCAGGACACCAAACCTGGCATTGCTGTGGGAACCTCTGGGGTCCTGCTCCAAGGGAAGTCAGGACAGGAGAGAAGCTGGCCTGAGGGGGCCACCTTGAAGGAAGGACTTCCTTGGTAATGTGCTCTCCTAGAGCACAGATCTGTTCTGCCCACCTTACCCTTTCAGAGGAGAAGGACCTTCCTGTGCTGATAGGGTAAACTGAAGGATGGTCTTGACAGTGCCACAGTAGCATGGTCATGTGCTAGAGGAAGCCTGTGCTGGACTTCGAGAGGTAAGGTCAGCATCTTGGCAGTGCTGAATTGTTTCTGATGGACAAACTGCCATGGAGCACCTTAAGGGGCTTGCTTAGGTGAAGATGGGATTGGTCACTTTACCGCCCCCCCATCCTACACCAGTGCATAGTCAGTGAAGTGTGGCCTCCCCCCCAGCTCATTAAAGTCCTGTTAATACATCATCAGCCTCCTGAGCTGACAAATACTCAGTCTGGCAAATGGCCCTCCGTCATATCTCTACCCTTAGCCCTTGGGGTGGGGCCCTAGGGGTCTAATCTCTCAGGACTCCTGGCTGACCCCTCTCCTGTCTGTCCCCAGACAAGAAATCCGAGCCCTGAGAGGCCCCCTGCTGAGGTCATTGTGATCCTCTGGGCAGGTCAAGTGCCCAGCAATGGATTAGATAATAATAGTGGTAATGATGGCATAATGCATGGCTTCTTCCGGGGTTCTCCGTGCTCTGCCAGCCCTTTTCGTTGTACCGCATCCAAGGGGGAGGATCCCACTTCCCACCTCCAAGGGGCAGGGGCAGTGCTTGTGCACAGCTAAGTGCCAGCTTGTGTGTAGTTGTGGGGGGATTTGAATGTGTGACCTTCCTGGCCCAGAGACTTGCAACAAGGCTTTTTCAAAATCATTCAGAAAAATAACCCCAGTGGCTCAGGGCAAATCTGTGTTAAGGGGTTTTGAGGAAGGGGAGAGCAGGTGGGATAAGGAGGAAGGAAAGAAAAGGGGCCGGGGAGGGGTGGGGCAGGAGGGAGAAAGAAATGGAAGAGAGGAAGAGGAAAGGGTGGGCGGGGAGATCTCTCTTTGTGGTCCTCTGGCTGGCCACTCTGGAGTCATTATGGTCAGGAAAGGAAGGAAATGTGTCCTGGCTGGGGAATTGGGGTGTGTGCCCAGAGGACGCCACACCCAGCTGGCCACTGCCCCTCACTGCCCGCCCAGGCTCACCCTGCTCTCCCTACAAATGGAAACTCCACCCTTTCTCATTCTGGCTGTTTGGGCTCCAAGGCCCAGTTCCCAATGCCTCCCCACCCTGCCTAGCACCCACCCTCCCACCCGCCAAGCTGGGGTTTTCCGTGTGGTTGGTTAGTGTTTTCTTTTAGTTTGTTTTGTTTTGCAGTACTGGAGATTGAACCCAGAGCCTTCTCACTGAGTTGCATCCCCAGTCATTTTTTTTTTTTTTTTTTTGAGACAGGGTTTCATTAAGTTTCAAAGGCTGGGCTCCATTTTGACAATTCTCCTACCTCAGTCTCCTAATCCAATGAGATTAAAGCCATGTGCCACCATGCCTGGCCCCAGTTCTTACTGTTTATAAACTGAAGACAGGCCGTGTCTGGTTCCGGTCCTCACCTTATGGCCAGCCTAGGACCCCAGGAGCCTCTGTGGGAATTAGAAAAAAGGGCTCCTTCCTTTGGGCATACCCACCTCTGTGCCAGGCCACTCTCGGACTTGGAGGAAGAGCTTGGGCTGGTCATCTGATCCCCTTTTCCACCAGGGGCCTAACACTTGGGGAACCTGATACTCTACTTCCACAATCCTTACCCCATACCATGCCCTGCTGTTGGTCTGTGAACAGAAGCATCATACCTACTCCATCCCTACCCTACAGCATAGCTTTTGGGCCAGTGCCCCAAATTGATCCTACCTTATAGTCTCACAGAACCTCTCACTAAACACCCACACCATTTAATACCTCAGAGTCTCTGGCCCTGAGATCTCATTTCCCTGCAATGCCTGGTGAACTGTTACTCATCCTTCAGAATCCAGCTTAGATGTGCCCTTCTCTCTGAAGCCCCTAGCTGTTCTCCATCCCCTTGGAGAGCTAGTAACTACCCCAGAGTGCTTAGAATCCTTTTTTTAATTTTTTTTTTGGTTTTTTGAGACAGGGTCTTGCTATATAGTTCAGACAAGCCTTGAACTCACTATGTAGCCCAGGCTGGCCTCCAACTCACAGTGATCCTCCTGCCTCAGCCTCCCAGGTGCTTGGATTACAGGCCAGTGCCACCATGCCTGGCTCCCGAATCCTTTCTTTTTTAATCCCCCTAAGTTTCAGGGATTGATCCCAGAACCCTACTTCCTAGACCCCACCCCACCTTGTCCAAAGGCAAAAGACCCCATCCAGTCCTTCATGAACCACCTTCTGACTTGTCAGGCCCTCTGGGACACCACTGGGATTCTCCCTTCCCTAAGGCTGACAAAATGGGGAACTGGAAATGCAAGTAGCCCAGCAGGCTCCCCACCCCCACTCTGCCCTCACTGGGGCTGGGCTTGACAGGAGATTCCCAGAACATCTGGTTGTACTTAAAATCATCCAGCGCTAAACTGGACTGCCCAGGCGGGCTGGTTCCTCCCTCTCTCTTTTCTGCCCTAGCCTCCTCCCCTTCCCAGCCCAGCCTTGACTGGCCCAGCCTCTGCATCTACCCTCTTGAACCTCCCCCTCTCTGGGTCTCAGCAAGGCTTAATGGAACCCCGTCCCACCTAAGCAGTGTCCTGGATAGGAACCCCACTCCTCAAGTGAGATGATCTATGGCCTCCCCTCTGCTCTTGGCTGCTTCAGCTCCTGGTGCATGTAGGGGACCAGTTCCTCCCTCTGACACCTCAATTCACATCCAGATAGTGGGCGGCTATTTTTGCAGCAACTCTTGCTGTCATTTTCCAAAAATCTTTATAAAATGTTAACAAAAGGGCAGAGCCAAGTGTGGTGGCCTGTGTGCCCATAGTCCCAGCATTCAACAAGCTGAGGCAGAAAGATCGCTTGAGCCTAGGAGCTTGAGGCCAGCCTGGGGTAACATAGACCCCATCCCCAAAAACCAAAAACAGAAAAAGGGGAAATAACAGAGGATATAGCAAATATAAAAAGACACAGACGGCTGTGGTGGTGCGTACCTATTGTCCCAGCAGCATGGGAAACTGAGGCAGGAAAATAGGAAGTTTGTGCCTACCCTGGTCAACCTGGTGAGACCCTTTCTCAAAATAAAATGTTTAACAAAGACTAAGGATGGAGCTCAGCGGGAAAGCCCTGAATTTCAAATGTTCATTCTTTGATTCAGCCATGTGTACTGAAGTGTAAGTTCTGAGACTAGAGACTGGAATTAGACCCCAGTGCTTCTTAGAGAAATTGGAGGAGGGACAAGTGGAAAGACAAATGGAATCCAAAACCGGGGAAGGACCCAACCGAAAAAGAGAACTATGGGCCAATCTCCCTAATGAACATGGATGCAAAAATCCTCAACAAGATACTGGCAAACAGAATACAAAGGGTCATCAAGAAGATCATACACCCTGACACAGTCGGATTTATCCTGGGGATGCAAGAATGGTTCATCAAGGGCTGGGGATTTAGTTCAGTGGTTTCGCCGCCTGCTGCACAAGCACAAGGACCTGAGTTCGATCCCTGGTACCAAAAAAAAAAAATCTTCCCCAAGAATGGTTCGACATACATAAATCAATAAATGTAATACACTATGTTAACAGAGTCAAGGGCAAAAACCATATGATCATCTCAATAGATGCAGAAAAAGCATTCGACAACATCCAGCACCAATTTATGATAAAAACCCTACAGAAAATTGGAATAGAAGGTCTTTATCTCAACCTGATTAAGGTTATCTATGAAAAACCAACAGCCA